TGGCGGGCCACATGCACACCACAGACCACAGAGCAGCAGGATGGAACATGCACCGGCACGCTGACTGACTTTCAGCAGGGGCATCAGGCAACTCAGCAAAGACAGTGTCGTCAACAAAGGGCGCTGTGACCAATTAGCCTTGGGTCCTGCTTCATACAGACATTAATACGAGATGGATAATGAGCTAAATATAAAATAAAAACCATAAACTACTAGAAGAAAATATAAGAGAACAGCTTCTCCTTTGGGGCAAGTGGAGACTTCTCAGAAAAACAAATTAACTACAAAAGAAAAAAATACACTGGAGTTCAGCAAAATTTAGAATTTCTGTTCATCAAAAGACATTAAATATGAAGGCAAGTCACAGATGGGAGGAAGTATTCACAGTGTCTGACAACGGACTTGCATCCAAAATATAGAACTTGCATAACTCGTCTTCTAATAACAAGGCGAACAGCCCAACTAAAAAAAACAGGCAAAAGATTTGAACAGACATTTCACAAAAGAAATGAATGGCCATTAAACCCGTGAATGGTGCACAACATCACCAGGCACCACAGAAATGCAAATCAAAGCTGCAACAAGACACACTCTGCACCTGTTGAATAGTTAAGACTGAGACCAACAGTGTCCGGGTCAGCAAGAAGGTGGAGCAGCCCCCCCGCCCCGGACACAAGAGCACTGTCTGTGGTTGGCAGGTTCTTTTCAGGCGAAGCATACCTTTACCCTGTGACCAGTCAACTCCACCCCTGGGTATTTTCCCAAGAGAAATGGAAATACACATCCACAAAAGGACTTACATAAGAATGTTTGTGGTGCTTTCACTAAAATAACCCAGACAGGAAACTGCCCAAATGTCAATAAACAGTACAGTGTAAAACGAATCGTGGCATATTCACACAACAGATAATAAAAAAAAGATTAAGCCATCGACACACAAAATATCACAGAGAACCACAGAGTAAAAGGCTGCACACAAGAGGGCATCCTGTAAGATTTCACCTGCAGATCTGAGACCCGTGAGTGCTGTCTAGCAGAAGCACAGTGGACGTTCTGAGTGACGGAAATGCTCTGTATCTTGACTGGGGTGTTAGGTATATGGGTGTACACAGCTGTCAAAACTCACCAAATTGTTCACTTTGTATATAATTTTCACACTGAAATCTTGCATTTCACTATATATAAATTTTACCTCCGTTTTTAAAAACTGAATGATCGGGCGCCTGGGTGGCTCAGTCAGTTAAGTGACTGCCTTCGGCTCAGGTCATGATCCTGGAGTCCGGGGATCGAGTCCCGCATCGGGCTCCCTGCTCAGCGGGGAGTCTGCTTCTCCCTCTGACCCTCCCCACCATGTGCTCTCTCTCTCATTCTCTCTCTCAAATAAATAAAATCTTTAAACAAAATAAAAAAAAAAACAAAAAAACTGAATGATCTACAAAGATGTAACAACAATACTGATGGACCTTAACAACGCAAGTTTTAAAATATTACATAGCCTGATACTCTTTGCATAAAGATAAAAACACTGAAATTTTTAATTGACTTTTTCAGCTCTGTACAAACAGCAGAGTTCAGCAGGGGTTACGACGTGGCATGTGGCAGGTGTGCCGGGGGAGGCGGTCAGAGGGCCAGGCCGGCTCTAGTCCTACACGGCAGGTTCATGGGCACGTACACCAGTGCCTTTGCCGAGACACGGGTACAACACACCAAACTGACCCTGCTCGAAAACAGGAGCGAGTGTCCTGAACCGAGGCTCATGATGGACTCAGTTCTCTGCCCCGAGATCCCGAGGTCTATGTTTAAAGATGAAAAAATCAGGTTGGAAGCTACGAAGGTGATAATACCTGAGTCACTATATTCAGGACTTAGGGACACCCATGTGGTCCCCAGAAGAGAAGGAATCATCCTAAACCTTACGCGAGAAAGTAAAAAGAAAGGTTGAGAGGTAATGAGTGAGCACTAGAAATAAACCAAACCCACCAAGATCAGAAACTAAACAAATAAAACAAAAGTGCATGGAGGAGAGGCGCTCCAGGCAGCCGTCAGACAAGGGCGCGGCCCCACACCCGAGGGCAGCACAGGTGCGTGACCTGTCTGTCCTGCACTGAGGACGCCAACCCACCTCCGGGAAGATGGGGCATCCTCCTGGCAGTCCCCTTGGGTGTCCCCGTGCGGGCGCACGCCCAGACTCCCTCCCGGGTGGTCCCCTCGTGAATCCTCGGGCCTGCAGCCCCTGCCAGGCGCTGTGGCCATTGAGGACACACTGCTCCGTGGTGGCTAATTGGCTCCTGATGCAGAGACCATGCTGCCAGGGGCCCAAGGGAAGCGGGCCAGGCAGAGGTTCTCTGCTGTGGTGGCAAGTGCTGGGGGTACCCTCGGAAGGGACACTCTCAGAAAAGCAGGGCCCCCGGATGAAGCCCAGTTCTAAGCTCTCCTTTCCACAGACGCCGCATCTGCTCACCTCAAGGGCCCAGGAATTCAAGTCCCTGTCATGATGCACATATTAAAGGCTACCTTCTTCAAAAGCCAGACTTTTTTGTTTGCTTATCTTACCCCACCCCATGGCCGGGAACGACCAGGTCCTAAATGAACCAGACACGCCTGCCTGTCTGTGCCCCCAGCTCCCTCACAGGCAGATGCGTCCATCAGCCACCGGGAAGGCGATGGACTGTGCCACCCCTGCCCTGGTTAGTGCAGCAAGGCGGTCGTGCCAATCCCAGGGCAAAGCTCGCCAAAATTTACCTCACTGATTTATTTCACCTAAACCCCAAGAACAATTCACATTTCTAGAGTGGGGGCCAGTCTTCCTTGGTCAGACTTCGGCAACACCATCCTTCTCTGATGCCCACGCCCAGGACGGAGACATGGTGATGCGCAACCTGGCAGCCTGCCTCTCCTGGCCCTTGTGGCTCTGACCGCTCCCCCCCGACCTCCTTCCCCACAGTTTCCGGGACTGACCAGGCCAGGCGTCCAACCTGCCCCTTCTCTCCCTGCCCACCACTGCAGGATCTGGTCGTCCTCCGTGCCCTCCGCCAGCCCAGTGGTGACTGTGCTGATGTCCATCGGCAGCTTTATCAGGAGCCTCCCTGGTCCGCGGTTCTCGCCGTTCTGAACCGGGCTCCACCCGGTCCAACTTGGCCTTCCTTCATTTTCTTTCTTGCTCTCCAGCAAACGCAGAGAAAGCCTTGGAGGATATACTGGAGAGGAGAGGGTATCTTCAGCCCTCCTCTCTCCTTCTCCTACAGTCCTGCCAGTGGGAGCTTCCTGAGTATTTCAGAAAGAGCAGTCCTAACGGAGCAACAGAAAATCGCCACCTCCCTGCACCCAAAGGCCGAAAAAGCACCCTTTGCTATGTGGTGGGTGTAGCTGTCTTTGGTGGAAAAACTGTCTTTGTTTAGGAAACTGTTGGACGGACCCTCTAAGAGTGAAAACAGGCCCCGGAGCCAGGTCTGCAAGGAGATGAGGGAACGAGAGGGAGTTTTATCTAAGAAAAAGGCAGAAAAAGAGACCGGAGATGCCGAAGCAGCAGGACAGGCACTGCAGCCCCGGGGTTTGTCTCCAAGAGCAGGGCCGTCTGAGAGGTAATTTTTTGCCACTTGCTCGCATAGGCACACAATCTCCCCAAACCTCCCTGTGGACCCAGACCTTGTACAGAAGGTCCTGGTAATCAAGGAAAAGGCTGAGCCAATACGAGATGACAAGGTTCGTAGGTGAATTCAGCACAAGCAGAAACTCTGAGCCACGGCCGACCTCGCGAACACCAAAGCAGCTACCCAAGGAATGCCCAGAAGACGTGGGTGCCCTGCATCCCCAGACCCAGAGGAGCCCGAAGGGAGACCACATACAGACAGACATTCTTAAAGCGTGTTTTAAAGTCAGTAATAAGGTGCGCCTGCGGGGCTTAGTCGTTGGGTGTCTGCCTTTGGCTCAGGTCATGATCCCGGGGTCCTGGGATCGAGCCCCGCATCGGGCTCCCAGCTCAGCGGGAAGTCTGCTTCTCCCTCTGCCTGCCCCTCCCCCTGCTTGTGCTCTCTCTCTCTCAATAAATAAATAATAATCTTTAAAAAAAAATAAAGTAACAAGAAAATCCACGGGTGAACACACGCTATTATGCTTCTCGGTCACCTGTCATAATCCTTCGTCATGTGACTGAAGATGCTTTATAGACATTGTAGTAATTCCCATATACTGACCACACATAAATTGTTTTCAGAATTTCTGAGATCCCTACAAATGAAGTCTAGAGTCAAGGGCATGAGCATTTTTTAAGTTCTTGATAACAAAATGCCTAACTTTGCTGCCGAGCACCCCCAATTCACACTTTCCAAATACGAACTATCTGCACTTCAGAAAACCCTGTTAACGTGGTTTTTAAAAACTCGTATCTCAGGGCGCCTGGGTGGCTCAGTTGGTTAAGCGACTGCCTTCGGCTCAGGTCATGATCCTGGAGTCCCCGGGATCGAGTCCCGCATCGGGCTCCCTGCTCAGCGGGGAGTCTGCTTCTCCCTCTGACCCTCCTCCCTTTCATGCTCTCTCTCTCTCTCATTCTCTCTCTCAAATAAATAAATAAAAACTCGTATCTCACTAATGTAACTTTTGTTTCCTTGGTCACAAGTGACCTAAAGGTACGTTAAAGCCCACCTGCAGTCAGCTGTCCTCTGTCCTTCCCGACAGATCCACCACCGGCCCTTCTCTGCGCTTTCTTATCACTGTGTGCATTACGTCTTATCTAAGGCTGTTCATCAGCTAAGTGTTTGTCCACATCTTCCCAGTTTATGTGATTCTTTTGTACAATTCTGCATTTTTATATAATCCTATTTATTAAAAATTAACTCATTCAGTGCTACGGCAATTTAACAGCAAGAGCCCATGAACCTTAACTTTTAAGTCTTATCATTATATATTAGAATAATGATTTTCAAGAACCACACTAAAATGTCAGGTCATTTAATTATTCAACCACTACATATACACACGCTTTAAATAAAATAGTTACTTACCGAATCCAAAAAGCAAAGGTAAGATCCTGAGCTTTGTGCTATTGCTTGATTTTTAGAATATCCAACTGTTTGAAAAAAGAAAGATAAAAGTTCTTTTGTAATTCAATTTTCAATGGTCTTCTCTTTCCTAGAACTTAGGGTAATGGTACTACAAGGGAGCTAACAACATTGTACACTACCAGGTAAAAAAAAACCAGGTCAGCCCTAGACAGAGTGAAAGGGAAGCAAACGGAAAACAGCGCTGCGTCTTTAGGGGCTAAGACGCAAAGAGACCACATGGGACCAGCGTAGTGAGGAGGGATTGCTCACTGGAGGAAAGCAGACTCAGCAACCATTTACTGAGTGTAACACTAAGCTAAGCTGGGGAGAATATTAAAAAAGAAAAAATCAAAATGTCCCTGAATGGAAGTGCTTGAGTAAATGCCGTCAGGAATGCTGATAAAAGTCAAGATATGGTTACCTGGGGAGGGGGTAACGCGTGTGTGATCGGCTGGTAAAAGCTCACTGGGCTGGACACCATGAGCGGTTATCTGAATGCATCCCTCAGTGGTAATTACAGTCACTGCTAGCGTTCATCACGTCTGGACACGCACATACCCTATGACCCAGCAGCTCCCTGCTAGGTGCAGACCCCACAAACACCCCCACGTTCACCAAGATGTGATAGTCCCCAACGTAAAACGGAAACGCTGAGAAAAATACCGTGATGAGAATGAACAACCCCGGTTTGCATGCACATGTGCATGATGTCCACATGGTGTTCAAGGGCAGCAAATTCATCTGGAATCAGGGGGTTGCCTTGGGAAGTGGGCAGGGACCAGAAGGGACACAGGGGACCTCTGAGGGCTGGTGATGTCGGCTCTTCATCGGGGCGCTGGTTACATGGCGTGCTCAGTTTGAGAAAATTAACTGAACTGGCATTTATGATAAGTGCACTTTTCTGTACGGATGTTATGTTTTAATAAATGTTTTAGAAACACTTTGCCTTCAAAGAGATTGCAACTGAGTTGGGAAAAGTTAAATGATGACCTCCGGCTGCACTGAATGAACAGTGCTGGAGAAGTACCAGGAGGCTTACAAAGACAAGGGGCAAGAGGGGGCCTGGGGCCGCTAGGGTTTGATAAAGAGCAGATGCCAGAGCGTGCCCAGCGGTGTGGGGAACAGCAGGCCATGGAGGCAGGCAGGAGGGCAGGCCCGGCCCAATAAGCTTTCTGAGTAAGGAGTGGCCACAGAACTCAGCACTGAGGCAGCTGAGTCCGGGTGCTGAGGCCCAGGGCAGGTTACAGGAGGTATTTAGAGGGGCCGAAGGGACCTCAAGGTACAAGATACACCTCCCTAGAAAAGCAGTTACCAACACCTGAATCGAGTTAACCAGCCAGTTACGGATTTGGGGCCACGGAGAAAAGTCACAGAAACTGAAACAGATGTGCGCAGACATAAAACAGTAAATCCCTCTAGTACTCCAGCTCAGGCGAACTGAAGAACGTCTCGTTGGTGCCAGGGACACAGTGATACGTTGCCTCAGGCCACACCGGAGCACTCCCTGGTTTTCCACGCCACGGACAGCGTCTCTGAGGCAGGGAGAGAAGGCAGCCGCTCCAGTCAGCGGCTCTGAGCAAACTGCAGCCCCAGTGCCAGAGAAGCAGGGACACGGCCTTGCTCAGGTCACCCAGGCTGTGGCCCAGGGCAGTGCCCTTGTGCAGGCTGTTTTCACACAAGGCGGCAGCTCAGTCTCTAGCATTAATTCTAGAGTTCAGCCAACCCAAATCAGTCAGCAGAGCGGTCCCAGGTCTCCAAGAACCACTGGTGTAACAGGCAGAGAAGGGAGCGCGGCAAGGGCCCGGGGAGGGTTTCGCGGCCGCACGGACACAGCTGTGGCTAAAGCTGTGTTGCCGCTGCCAGGCATGGCAGGCCCAGGAAAGGCCTCTTGGGATCAAAACCAAAGCGCTGCATGAGGACAATGCAAATGGGAAGAGATGGTCCACAATCCCATTTAAATTACCAGGAGTTCTGTTTAAAAAGCTGCTTAGTAGAGTCAGGTTTCAGAAGGGGAAAAAATTGAACCAGAATTTGGATAACGAAGGAAAACATGTCTCACTAAGGAAGCTGGAAGTTCCTCACAATGAGTCCTATGTTTGGCAAAGACAAGGAATTTGCTTTAATATTACTGCCTTGAAGAAAGTCAAATGTTTGTGCCAGGGCCTGATGTCCGGGGAGGCTGTCCCTTTGTGACGGAGCCGGTTGTCATGGTCACAGCAGGAAAAACGCAGCCACCCTCACTCTTTGGAGAGGACAGAATTGTGTTGTGTTTTCATTTTAGCAAGTGACCGCATTTTTAAGAAATGTTTTGTTCTGTTATGATATGAAATAATAAGAAATGAATCTTAATCCAATTTAAATAACTCAGCACTCCTGGAAAAGGAAACACTGGATTTATGTTATCCAATAGTCGACATAACTTTCTCTATTTCAGAAAATATCTTTGTAGGAAAATATGCTCTTTCGGATGTCATCAAATTAACTCCGTTCCATAATTGGAATGCAGGGCCCCTCTGAATTCACCTTGCCCCCTTCAAAGTGACAGCACAACCGCTTCATTTCTTCACACTATGACAACTCATTTTGTTACTGACAAAACACATACAAGTGTGATATGACTCAAGTTATATCTAATCTATAAAAAGTATTTTATAAAAAACAAAATGTGTTTAAAATGGAGATTAGGGGCGCCTGGGTGGCTCAGTCATTATGCGGCTGCCTTCAGCTCAGGTCATGATCCCGGGGTCCTGGGATCGAGCCCCGCGTCGGGCTCCCTGCTCAGTGGGAAGCCTGCTTCTCCCTCTCCCACTCCCCCTGCTTGTGTTCCCTCTCTCGCTGTGTCTCTCTCTCTGTCAAATAAGTAAATAGAATCTTTAAAAATAATAAAATAAAATGGAGATTAGACAAGTAAAGACACACCATCACCAAAATGCCCTCGACTTCCTTTATCAACTACGGAAGATGCAAACCATCTTAATTAAAGAATATTTTAAAAAGACATTCAAACTAGTTTCAGAAACCACAATTTGTTTACACATATCTCAGAAGCAAGCTGAAACAGATGTTCTACAATAACTGATTTCTTTCAAGTTTTCTATTTCAAACAATGAAAACAAGAAATAATTTGGGAAAAAACGGGAGTGTCTTCCAGATGCATGAGTTAACAGTGAAGATCAGGATGCCAAGAACGGGCAGCGACTGAGTGGCTCTAGCACCTATGCCTTCTCAGCAATGGGCACGGGCACCTGCTGCCCGAAAGGGAAACCAAGGCACAGAGAAGTGGAGGGTGGGGCCCGCCGCAGCCTGGCTGCCTGCCGCCCAGTCCTCTGCCCTGGTCCTCTGGTGGCAGGGCCCCCAAGAGGCAATGCCAAAGAGTGTGGTCTTTCAATATAAACTTAGAAAAAAACTTTCTTTTAAAATGACCAATTTTAAGAACTATTACTGGTTTTAAATTTTTTCTAAAATATGTCTACACTTTCCTGCTCTTCTAAGTAGGATACGGGGTGCTGTTTATGAGGGATGTGGTGTGGGGTTGGGGCACTCTGTTTCTGTTTCATTCCGTGAACTCAACTATTTAACTCAGGCCCACCAACACCCTCCCTCTCCTTGGCCCAGGAACACAGACCTCAGTGTTGGCAGGAAGCTGCCGAAAGTGACGGCAGGGTACCGGGAGGACGGGTATCGAGCCGCCCCCATGGAGTAGCACACTGCTTTGTGGAGAGCCAGTGTTGCGAAAGGTTAGCCCTGTCTGAGGGCGGGCCCCCAGGAACTCAGGAGGAGACAGCCTGGGCTCAGATGTCCTCTGCGAACTCTGAGTAGGCCAGCAAGTCCTCCAGGGTCAGGCGCAAGCTCTGTGAGGTCATGCTGGGGGAACGCTCTTGAGAATCGGAAGTGAACCACCTGACCACCAAAACTGGCAGAAAAGAGCAGAGAGAGGGAACAGGATGAAAGGGCTTTGAGGGCAAGAAGTGTCTGGGAAGAGTGGCCGTCTCTCCTGCTCACGCCTCTCTGGAGAGACTTGCTGAAGCATAACCCTACCCCCACCCTGACCCCTACCTGCCCACCGACAGGACAGTCACACGCCAGTCTGAACAGGACGTGGAGCAGAGCCAGCACAGCCCTGGCTCTAGAGCAGGGGACCCAGAGGGATCCCAAACCTCCACCCTGCCCACCCCTGAAATATCACGAGAGCGACAAGATTCCCTGAGGACCAAGCCCATGAGGGAGTGGGGCTGACGCCACACCACTCCTGAGGCTATTTTGAAGCAGTGGTCCTCAACTGTGGATGCACCCAGCATCTCTTAGGAAGCGTCCACAGTCCCAGTGCAGAGGCGGCACCCAAACCGATGACTCAGGAATATCTTAGGGTGGGACTCAGGCATCAGGGCTCCCAAAGCTTCGCAGGCCCTTCTAACATGCAACCAAAGCTGAGGCCCACTATTTAAAGGACAAACTCCTACAACCTGCAGGGGCCTGTCCACAGGTTCCGGCCTCATCATCTGGCCTACCTCCTCCTTCAACCCAGCAGTGTATGCGGGCATATTAATTTCAAGTCTCATACAAAAACTTTAAAGTGAAGCTAAAGGAAACCCAATATATTACAATTAAAGCTAAGAATGCAAAGCTAATCATTCAGTATAAAAACAGAAGGTGCATGAAAAGCAACGACACCTCAACCCAGCATTATAAAATTTCAAAACTCAAAACATAAAGAGAAAAATCTTAAACACTTTCAGAAAAGAAAACTTTTAAGGAGTCAGACTGACATAAGATTTCTTAACAAAACCAGAAGACACCAGAAGATAACGAGGCAATCCTTCAAAATTCTAAGGGAAATGATTTTGGAACCTAGAATTCTATACCTAGCCAAACTGTCAATTGAGCCTAAGTACAAAATGAAGACATTTTCAGACATGTAAAAACTCCAAACATTTTACCATCTACATGCCAGATACGGAAAATGTACTTCAAGGAGTACTCCAGCAACACAAAAAAGGAACATGTAAAATGAAAACTAAATAAAAGA